AATGTTGCCAGACTGGAAAGAAAGATGTTCCTTCTAGATGGAGTGAGTTGTTTTTTCTGTCAGAACACAGTCTTGCCCTTTCCCTCTCCCACTCCCACAAAGAGCTGAACCCTGAGACTGAATTCTCAGGAGCCATAGTGAAAAGCCCAAACTACTTTATTATTATTATTATTATTACTGAGACAGAGTTTTGCTTTTGTCCAGGCTGGAGTGCAGTGGAGCGATCTTGGCTCACTGCAACGTCCACCTTCCAGGTTCAAGTGATTCTCCTGCCTCAGTCTCCCGAGTAGCTGGGATTACAGACATGCACCATAACACCTGGCTAATTTTTGTATTTTTATAGTAGAGACAGAGTTTCACCATATTAGTCAGACTGGTTTGGAACTCTTGACCTCAGGCAGTCTGTCCACCTTGGCTTCCCAAAGTGCTGGGATTACAGGTGTGAGCCACTTCACCTGGCCCCCAAAGTATTTTATTATTTTAACACATTTTCACTGTGAGAGTATGATTAGGTGACAATTTTGGATTTCTTCTTACATTTCAAAAAGCCCCAAAGGATCTCTTTTCTGTTTTTTTTGAGATAGAGTTTTGCTCTTGTTGCCCAGGCTGGAGTGCAATGGGGAGATTTTGGCTCCACTGCAACTTCCACCTCCCAGGTTCAAGCGATTATCCTGCCTTGGCCTCCCAAGTAGCTGGGATTACAGGCGTGCGCCACCACACCCGGCTAATTTTTATATTTTTAGTAGAGACGGGGTTTCTCCATGTTGGTCAGGCTGGTCTGGAGCTCCCGATGTCAGGTGATCCGCCTGCCTCGGCCTCCTAAAGTGCTAGGATTACAGGTGTAAGCCACCACGTACAGCTGAGGATCTCTTAATTCAAATTGAATTCCCATCTGTTGGTTGATGGCAACTTTCTGCCATCTCACAAAGCCTTCTCTGGTCTTCTTTCCAGGTATTGTTGCAGAAAGCCGGGATGACCTCTATGTCTCAGATGCATTCCATAAGGCATTTCTTGAGGTGAGTCCACCTCCCCCTCTCTCTCTTCCTATGCTGCTTTTCTGCCACTTTATTATTCAGGATTTCATGTGATTTATAACTCTGGAATTCTTGCTCTGCTAACTCTTAGGGTACAGACAGGAGATGCATGAATAACAGCAGCCCATGTGGAAAAGGCCTGTTTCCAGTGTTAATGCGTGCAAAAGGCCTCCACAACATCTGCTATAATACAGCCCTTCCCAAAACCCTCATGGTGTGATTGTTCTGCCTTCCCTCCCACTACCACTTCTGTAGCAGGTCAAGTGGGAACACAAACATATAGGGAGGGTGGTACAAGAAAATAAGCCAGCAAAGGCCATCAAGAAGGAAATTACTGGATGAGGAGGAGAACCAGTAGAGTATGGAGTTGCAGAAATCTAGGGAGAAGTTTTAAGAAAATGCAAAGCATCAGGCTGGGTGCAGTGGCTCATGCCTGTAATCCCAACACGTTTGGAGGCCGAGGCAGGCGGATCACGAGGTCAGAAGATCGAGACCATCCTGGCTAACACAGTGAAACCCTGTCTCTACTAAAAATACAAAAAATTAGCCAGCCATGGTAGCACACGCTTGTAGTCCCAGCTACTTGGGAGGCTGAGGCAGGAGAATCGCTTGTACCTGGGAGACGGGGGTTGCAGTGAGCTAAGATCGCACCACTATACTCCAGCCTTGGCAACAAAGCCAGACTCTATCTCAAAAAAAAAAAAAAAGGAAAACATCTAGTAAGAAGACTCCACGGGGGCCAGGCTTGGTGGTTCATGCCTATAACCCCAGCACCTTGGGAGGCCGAGATAGAAGGATCACTTGAGCCCAGGAGTTCACAACCACCCTGGGCAACATAGTGAGACCCTATCTCTACCAAATTTTTTTAAAAAAATAATAATTAAAAAAAGATTGGAGACTGCCCATGGTTTACCTTTCCCTAAGGACAGAATAGTGTAGGCACATACCTGATTGTAATGGATGAAGAGCAAATAGAAGGTAAGAAAGGGAAGCTGGTGTGTGTGCATCAGTGTCTTAAAATGTGCTCAGACAACTAGAGCACTAGACTACACTGTGGGAAACGAAACGGTGGTCAAATAAACACATATCCTCTCGTGGGAGATGAACAGTACACACTGGCATGCCGAGGTCTGAGAAGTCTCACAGTAAAGAGAACGGTTGAATATCATTTAACCTAGTGTTCCCCCAAGAACCTATGTTAGAGTAATAGCCTGTGGAACTTCTGGTTCTCAAGTAAACACTAACCTATGGACCAACAGCAGTAATCATCTGGGGAGCTTTGTCTTTGGAGATTCTGGGATGGGCCCTGAGAATCTGTGTATGTACTAAACTCCTCAGTGGATTCTTATGCACAGTGAGATTTGGGAACCACTGGTATAGACTATTCTTTGCGGGAGCCAGGCTGTGAGGGAAATGAGATGGGCCAGTGGTAGAAAAGTTCCTAGAATTGAAGACATCAAAAACAAGGAAGGTTGTAGTTAAAGAGAAACGTTTTAGAGCATGGTGCTAGTAAATACAGATCCAGGGCTCAAGCTTAGTGGGAAGTGCCTGGTTCAGAGGAAAGTAGAATTTTAACAGGAGTGAGGAAATGTGATAGCTTGAAAGAACACAAGGTTATAGTCTGAGAAGAGGATGCTATTAATATAATTTCAAAGAGCAGTTCAGAGATGGCAAGTCCAAGGTGTAGCCATGGACATGTTTGCTTAAGTGAAATGAAGGTAATGCTCATTGGGTTTGATGAAATGAAAGAAATCGGAGGTTAGGGTGTTGAACGGGTCTCCTATGGAGATTTTTTTTTTTCTTTTTTCTTTCACTGAGATGGAGTCTTGCTCTGTCACCCAGGCTGGAGTGCAGTGTTGTGATCTCAGCTCACTTCAACCTCTGCCTCCTAGGTTCAAGTGATCCTCTCAACCTCGGCCTTCCAAGTAGCTGGGACTACAGGCACCTGCCACCATGCTCAGCTAATTTTTGTATTTTTAGTAAAGATGGGGTTTCACCAGGTTGGCCAGGCTGGTCTCAAACTCCTGACCTCCAGTGATCCACCCGACTTGGCCTCCCAAAGTGCTGGGATTACAGGTGTGAGCCACCAAACCCGACCTACTGAGATACTTTGTCTCAAATGATAGCATGAGTTGGGGTGGACAGAAAGGCTAAGTGCAGAAATCATCAGTGTGGGGATATAATCTATAGGACAGTAGAGCTCAATGATCTTTAAGACAAGAGCAAGAATAGAGGTATTGAGGACAGAACAGGGGATTTTACAAGAGTGCTGCATTACTGGTTTTGGAGGTTAAGATGACACTGCCCACATCCTTTTTCATATGGATTTTTGGAAGAAAGAACACTTAGGAAGACCGCAAGGGAAATTGAGTCCTCAGCGTTTTAACTCTCATTGAATATCCTCTTGTAAGGACTCCAATTAGAAGTGGTCAGCTCAGACCTCCTGGAGGGGTTTGAGTTACTATTAGGAAGCGGCAGAGGTCTGGATTCATTTTACCCACCTGAGCCCACTACACAATGATGTAAGATTCTTCTGTGGTTCTTAGAACAAAGCCGTTTTCTTTGAAAACCTTGGGAACCCTTAATAAACAGGACCCAGCTAATTCCTGAGAAGCAATTAAAAACAAGAACCTGATTTGAATAAAAGGATCATGGTCATGCCAACACTCTAGTCTGCTAATAAATTTAGTCCTAGAATGTGCATCAAATAGATAATATGGGAGATAGAGGGTAGGGAAGGGAGGAACAAAGGAAGGGGAAGGAAGAGCAAGAGGCAAGGAGACATCATTAACCAGCTCCACAAAACGCAGGGAGCCGGGAGCCGGTTAATCACGTGCTTTCATTAAGCCCAGAAGCAGAGTTTTAGAGATATTCTGGGTCCTGAGGCAAAAGTCTCTGAAGGTGTTTCCCTCTAGACCTAAGGCTTATCAGCTATGTTCAAGTACCATTGTTTCAGTCTATTACTCCAAGAAAAAGGCATCTCGTCCAGCCAGAGAACCGACCTCTTTTCACAGGCCCTAGGTCCTGAGTGGCTCTTTTGGAGTATCTTGAATCTTGATGCTCCAAGAGTGAAACTGTTTCAACTATGGAGTTCAGATCTTGAGCCAAAAATCTTTCAGCAGCTAGCACCAAAAATCCACTGTAAAACCATTTACAATGGTACCAGCCAGAAATGTGATGGCCTGTGTACATTCAGATTTCTGGGTTACCTGAATGGAACTCTTACACTTAGTACCTAGCACAAGGCTTGCACAGACACAAGTACCTTACATTCTCTGCATGAAAGAATGAGTAGAAGTAGGATTCTGGAGGGAATTCAACCAGACCCAAATGTACTTTTTACTGGAAAACAAAAGCATTTTGAGGAATTGCTGTGTCTGTGTATGATTTACCTGCCAATAATGAACTGCAGAGTGGCTAATGTAGCAGTTTTATTTCCCATGTGACCTGCAGGTAAATGAAGAAGGCAGTGAAGCAGCTGCAAGTACCGCCGTTGTGATTTCTGGCCGTTCGCTAAACCCCAATAGGGTGACCTTCAAGGCCAACAGGCCCTTCCTGGTTTTTATCAGAGAAGTTCCTCTGAACGCTATTATCTTCATGGGCAGAGTAGCCAACCCTTGTGTTAACTAAAGTGTTCTTATTCTTTGCACCTCTTCCTATTTTGGGTTGTGAACAGAAGTAAAAATAAATACAACTACTCCCATCTCACATTATAAATGGACTCTACATCTGAAATGAAGACAAAGAGACGGGAGACATGCTATTGGGACATTTGGTAAAATGATGCTTTCAGTTGTTTTTTACCCCGTAACCACATCTGGGTCAAGACAATGAGAGCAATGAAAAATGGTAGATAGCAAGAAAGGGAAGGGAGAGTGAATTCTCAGTATTTCCATCACACTAAAAAATATCCAAAAATTTAAACACATTAGTTTCCATATACAGAAAAGACAGATTCAAATCTGCGTATTAAACCATTTAATTCTCAAACCACTCACATGCATAATGTTCTTTTACACAGTGTTAAAATAAAGAGGAAAATGCATTTTTATACAATTTCAAGTATACATTAATAGACTTTTCAGATTACTAACCAAGTTGCTAAGATTTCATTCACATTGTTCTTAAAGCTGTTCAACGAGAAAGCTTTTGCTAAACTGCTTTAAATATGTTTATATAAACCCATATTTTCACTCTTTCTTTGAATCTCCCTCTCCCAACCCGAGTCTCTGCCCACCCTCCTGCCCTCCCCTCTTCCTTGACATGACTGGGCTCCTGGGGCTCTAGGGGACATGCAACCCCACCAAGAACTATTGGCTTGTCATTAGGGGAAGGACAGAATCTTACAGGAGGAGAGACTGAGACACCTGTCAGATGAAGGGAGAACAAATCTGATACTTAGAAATGACACAAATCAGGACCATATCTTAGAGTCTTTGTGTTTTCACTTGATTTTTAATTTAAAAAATTTCAGCCTCCCACAAAACACCACCAAAGTTTCTGACAAATTGGTGGCAGAAAAAATCATCTTAGGTAGTTTTTCCCCAGTGAACCTTTCAAAATCAGGGCTGGTATTTAGAACTCTTTTTCAATTTGGTGGTTTTTTTCCCTTTGGCATGGAGTGGGGGGCCGCTTAAAAATGGACATTACTTGTGTGTTTACATTAAGAAATTTGGTTAATTTTACAGGGTCTGGCAAGAGTTCTCCCTCTTTAAGTCTCCTCCTGAAGTAATCTGGCTTCAGGGCCAGGAATAGCCACTCTCCTTAGGAATTAAAGTGCATTTTTTTTTTTCAGTAAAGTGAAAGAGGGGGAGGTGGTAGTTTACACTTAAGTGATAATGATTAAAGTAGGGTGGGGTGAGAGAAAATCCTATTCCTATATATAGGTATTTATAATTAAGGTCATAACAAAACTGATGTTCTTAGGAAATAAGATGCACAAAGCCAGTCTAGCACCCTCAGTGGTGCAAGAGCACTATCCTGGTTCACTGACTTTTCTGAGGCATCTTTATTATTAATGGAGTAACTGCTTCAGACGAAAGACACAAATCTCAAACATTAATTTTTTTAAAGGGAAAAAACAGACAGCTAAAAATACTCTATTTCATTCCCTTTCAGGGATAACATTTTAGAAACTGATTGTCTGTTTTAATATGAATCTTCCTTGATTAGCAAGTTGTAAAAAAAGTTAGATAAATTTGTTGCTTACAAATATTATGGTAGCCTTTAAAAACTTAGGAAGAGGTGGGCATAGTTGATCCTTGCTATCAATCAATATCAACTGAGAGGAAGTGAAATTTTCCTAGGATATCGTTATTTGATCGCTACTACCAGAATCTTATTTTCTGGCTAGTTTTCCTTAAATGCTTTACAATTTCTTCTGGGGTTAAAAACCCAAGAGTTTCCCATAGAGAAGTAAATGCTACATTAACAGCTATATAAAAACGTGATGGGCTCAAGATGAGAAGGGGGATCTTGTCCTGGATTCTGGCCTCTGAGTCCAGTGTGATCTGCTTTTCACAGTGACCAGTGGGAAGGCACAGTGCCAGGGACAGTTAGATGGGGACAGCTGTCACCCATCATATAAGCACCATAGAGAATAGTTGGACAGATTTCTTTCAGACTATGTCCATCTGAAGAAAATCAAATTTCTGCTACATTGACTTTTCTAACTTTGAACCCTAAGCCTTTTCTTCTCCTTTCAGAGGCAGAGCAGAGTGGGTCCCATTCGGAAATTATGAGGAGCCTAGAAACCTAAATGCTCTTCCAACGATGTACTCATTTAGAATGAAATGCCAAAAACAGAGAGTTCTAGGCCGAGCACAGTGGCTCATGCCTATAACTTTGTGAGGCCTAGGCGGGAGAATCACTTGAGCCCAGGAGTTTGAGACCAATCTAGGCAATATAGTGAGTCTCTGTCTCTAAAAAAAAAAAATAAACAGAAAATTTATCTGGGTGTGGGAGTGTGGTGGTACATGCCTGTAGCTCCAGCTACTCAGGAGGCTGAGGCAGGAGGATACAGTGCAGGAGGTGGAGGCTGCAGTGAGCTATAACTGCATCACTGCACTCCAGCCTGGGTAACGATGAAGACCCTGTCTCAAAAAAAAAAAAAAAAAAGTTCTAACTTTAAGATTTCTTGGCCGGGTGCAGTGGCTCACGCCTATAATCCCAACACTTTGGGAGGCCAAGGCGGGTGGATCACGAGGTCAAGAGTCAAGACCACCTTGGTCAACAAGATGAAACCCCGTCTCTACTAAAAACACAAAAATTAGCTGGGCATGGTGGTGCACGCCTGTAGTCCCAGCTACTCGGGAGGCTGAGGCAGGAGAATTGCTTGAACCCAGGAGGCGGAGGTTGCGGTGAGCCGAGATCATGCCATTGCACTCCAGTCTGGGTAACAACAGTGAAACTCTGTCTCAAAAAAAAAAAAAAGAAAAAAAAAAAAACATTTCTTAAAGGGAAGGAAGCCATTGGTTCCTGATTAAAGTGGCAGTTTCATCTATGTTCTGCTATCAGATCACAGAATAATGCTATGGGCTAAAACTGTGAACAGCGATCACAGCAGATGAAAAATTAATGGACTGAGATAGAACACATTTCTTTTGCCTATAGTTTGGGAATGCTTTTCTTTTGTTGAAGGAGCTGGGTGGTGAAACTGTATTCAAACTAATGTTTGTTTTGCTGTTTCAGAAAGGATTTCCTAGAGGTTTAAGAGAAATCAGCAAGCCAACCCATGAGGCAGAAGAACTTGCCCAAACTTCACAGTGCTGACAGGGAATTCTTATTAGAGAATTTGTTTCATTCCTTGCTTAAAATATAGTACAAGTTTATGTATTTATCCTTTATCATTACTTCCCCACTCTCCTCTATTCTCCCCACATAAAATCTTAAAATCCAGTGCAGTATAATTTGCATAAAGTTCAACAATGTTTCACAGTACTCCACAAAGTTCTTCAGTATGAAAACCCTAAGGGGCTACTCTCTTTGGAGTCTAAAAGGCTATTGCTTTTTTAGTCCACCCAGTAAACAGGAAGCCTTCAACAAATTTTCTAAGGCATAGGAGGCATTTTCTCTGACACTGAAGCATTTACATGCTAAGCAAACAGCCCAGGCCTTAGTGCTACTTTAATGAAATTTCACAGCATGATGCTAAATCAGTCCTCTGCACTAACCAACTTTCTCCTTGACCTACTTTTTCTCCTTACACATATCACCTACTGAAGTTCAAATTACCAGTTACTTGTAGGCAATATATAAATGAAACTTTCTGTGGTATTCAGAATACTCTCAGGAGAGACACTGCTACATTTGAACTTGCTCTTAAATACAAATTTTGTTCATGAGTCAGAAGTCACTTGGTAGCTAGTTTGAAAGTGGTTCTCACTTTTTTAGGGTAATAACGCAATTCTCCCATGTGTGAGGTTGCCATGGGCAAGTAACAAACCCATTAAAACACCTTTACTACCTGGGATGAGAAGAATGAATCTGGAACCTCATTGGGGAGTTACTTGGTTAGGTTTCTGACATCCCAGAACAAAGATTCTAAAATGACTGATTTCACATTTCATATATTATTCAGAAATATTTAAGCCTTAGCTAGTTCATTTCATTCACAAAAAAACAAGAAAAGTGAAAGTCAACTGACACTGAAATCCCACTTAGAAGACAGGCTAAGAGACAAATAACAAAATATATCACCATCAACCCATGCAGGATCCTCCCTCTTCTCCATTAACAATGCTACCTGTTTATTTTACAAATAGAAGTTGCTTTAGGCAGTTTGGGCCCTTTTAATAAATTCAAGTGCTCTATTTCTGCTAGTTGAGAAATCTACATATGCAAAAGAAAGAGGATTCTAGAGAAGGAACTTTGAAAATTTGTTTTGCTTACTTATGTGTACTTTGTATTTGGTATAGAGACGAAACTGGATGGAATGACAGTATCTCCCTCCAGAATTACTCTGAGGACAAATGGATGATCCGTTTTACTACCTAAGCCTTGGCCCACTGTATACTTTGAACTGAGGACCATGCATGGAATATCAATAAAGATAATTTCAGGTCAAAGAGAAGCAGATTGAGGTTATCCTGCCTAAGACCATTAGAGATTACATAGGGAGTGATTTTCAACCTTGGCTGCATATTAAAATCACCTAAAGCCCAGGCACAACAGACCAATAAAACATAAATGTCTAGAGAAGGTCCTATGCAATTCTAATGTGCAACCAGTATGAAGAACTAGGTCAACTAGTCCTGTAATAGAAAGCATAAGGCCAGTGTTCATCCAAGCCAGAGAAACAAAAGGTAAAACTCCATGGCTTCCATCCAGATTTATGGATTTAACATGCTGCCATGAACCTACTTAGGCATTTTTTCACTTTCTTTTGAAATAAATAACTGGCTGTAATAGGCAGCAACACCAATAGTAAACTATTGATTTAGGTAAGAAGGCTGCACCTTAAGTATGTGTTATAGCAAAAAATCAGGGGACAGGCCGGGCGCAGTGGCTCAGGCCTGTAATCCCAGCACTTTGGGAGGCCGAGGCGGGTGGATCACAAGGTCAAGAGATCGAGACCATCCTGGTCAACATGGTGAAACCCCGTCTCTACTAAAAACACAAAAAATTAGCTGGGCATGGTGGCGCGTGCCTGTAATCCCAGCTACTCAGGAGGCTGAGGCAGGAGAATTGCCTGAACCCAGGAGGCGGAGGTTGCGGTGAGCCGAGATTGCGCCATTGCACTCCAGCCTGGGTAATAAGAGCGAAACTCCGTCTCAAAAAAAATCAGGGGACAGGCCTAAAACAAAACTGTGGGCACAAGCAAAAGATAAGCCAGAAGGAAAATATTTCCTAAGCAGGAATTAATTCCCGAGTCTAGGATATTAACATGGCTTACAGGCAGAGAGCTATGCTACAGGTAGAAAAAAATAGTCGTGGTGAAAAGATTCAAATAATTTTACCACTTCATCTCCCGATAAGAGTCTTACTGTATTGGGCAGAAATTACTGTATCAGTTGTCATTTGTGAGTAATGTTTGTCTTATTATTTGGAATTTCACATTCTGTGTATCTCCACTTCCCCTGTCCAAAGTCACCAGGAAAGTTAATACTTATCAGCTAGTACCTAAAATACGGGAGCCAACCTCTAAAAAATCTGAAAATGGATCACTCTCTCATTTCACTTCTAACCACAGAATCCCTGTTTAGACATTTAGACAATATAATTAGTGTATTAGGGTGAAAAGCATTTCCACAAGGTAGAAAGCATTCTAGGATATCAAAGGGCCAACAGTTCCTCCTCAGCTGTAAGAAATATTCAAAAAGTGGGCAAGCTGACTTGGCTCAGTGCACCAAACAGAACATAAATTGAGTGCTACAACTGGATTTATAGATTAGGTGGTCTGCCTAGTGGCATATTACTAGTGAAACAACTTTCTGACACGACATTCAGGTGAGGCCATCTTGACTATTATAATAACATTGACATTAAAAACAAGACTATCTCTCTTTGGAGAGATTAAAAGCAAAAGAGGACATTTGAAAATCCTTCATGGGCCAGGTGTGGTGACTGGTGCCTGTAATCCCACTTTGGGAGGCTGAGGTGGTAGGATCGCTTGAGCCCAGACTTTTTTTTTTTTTTTTGAGATGAAATCTAATCTTGTTGCTCAGTGCAATCTCAGCTCACTGCAACCTCCAACTCCTGAGTTCAAGCCTCATCCTCTGGAGTAGCTGGGATTACAGGGACCCGCCACCACACCCAGCTAATTTTTGGTTTCACCATGTTGGCCAGGCTGGTCTCAAACTCCTGACCTCAGGTGACCCACACACCTTGGCCTCCCAAAATGCTGGGATTACAGGCACGAGCAACCGTATCCAGCTGAGCCCAGATGTTTAAGATGAGACTGGACAATATAGGGAGACTCCACCTCTACCAAAAAAAGAAAAAAATTAGCTGGTGTGGCACATGTCTGTGGTCCCAGCTACTAGGGAGGCTGAGGCAGGAGGATCTCTTGACCTTGGAAGGCTGAGGCTGAAGTAAACTGTGATAGAACCACTGCGCTCCAGCCTGGGTGACAGAGTGAAACCCTGTCTCTTAAAAAAAAAAATCCACCACGCCTATCTCCATATATGATTGGCAGAAGGCTCTTTATCAGGAAAATATGGATAATATGTCAGTCCCAAAAGTGGACAGCAAATGTCAATTAAAAAGAAGCTGGGGCTGGGCACAGTGGTTCACGCTTGTAATGCCAGTACTTTGGGAGGCTGAGGCGGGCAGATCATCTGAGGTCAGGAGTTTAAGCCTAGCCTGATGAATGTGGTGAGACCCTATCTCTATTAAAAATACAAAATTAGCTGGGTGTGGTGGTAGCACATGCCTGTAACCCCTGCTACTCAAGAGGCTGAGGCAGAAGAATCACTTGAACCAGGGAGGTGGAGGTTGCAGTGAGCCGAGATCGCGCCATTGCACTCTAGCCTAGGCAACAAGAGCAAAACTCTTGTCTCAAAAAAAAAAGAAGCTGAGATTCAAACAAATATTTCACATCATTAAAAGGAGTTACGTGTTTTAGCCTTTAAAAACACACTTGGCCTCCACTGGCTACTCCTGCCAAATAGAAGTCAGTGGATAAAAGCACTAAACCGGGCCGGGCGCAGTGGCTCAAGCCTGTAATCCCAGCACTTTGGGAGGCCGAGGCAGGTGGATCACAAGGTCAAGAGATCGAGACCATCCAGGTCAACATGGTGAAACCCCGTCTCTACTAAAAACACAAAAAATTAGATGGGCATGGTGGCGCGTGCCTGTAATCCCAGCTACTCAGGAGGCTGAGGCAGGAGAATTGCCTGAACCCAGGAGGCGGAGGTTGCGGTGAGCTGAGATCGCGCCATTGCACTCCAGCCTGGGTAACGAGCGAAACTCCGTCTCAAAAAAAAAAAAAAAGCACTAAACCGGGAGAAGTCTGTGGGAGAGAGAGAGAAAAAAACCCCACTAAACCCAAGTGTTCTGATATTGTTTGATTTGGGCAACAAAACAAAACATTAATATCTGAACATGACAAGAATTTCAGATACTGCAGCCTCTATATTTTGGGTCTGGCTTTCCTTTGCTTGCTACAGAAAGCTATACTCTTTTTCTTCAGCCAAATGCTCAGAGGTAGAGGAGCTGAAGTGAGTATAGAAAAGAATGGGGTAGACAGTGGCTGAGGAATCCAGCTTCCTGCCCAAGGGGCTACAGAGCAATCTTGCATATGCTCAGTGTCTAGTGGGAGGTAGACTATTCTACACTGACTTTTATGTCTTCATGAAATACCTTTTTCTCACATATGCACAAAAACTTACATATACATAGCGGGCAACTCACAGCAATATTGCAATTCACAACAGTATACCTATCCCAAAAGCTACTTTCAACCTAAGTTTTATATTAATCCCTAACCCTATTCAGGTAGATGGCAAGCCAAATTTATTTTTTTGAGGTCCCTCCTTTTGTCAGGTTTTAAAACATACATTTCACTTTTACACCTACATCTTTTTTCTCTAAAGAAAAGCTGCACTAAGTGGGTGCATTGTGTTATAATATCTTTATAAATAGAAAGTGCAAGAAATAATATTCTTAGCCAAAATACAAAGTAACAAAAAGCTCTCATAGCCTACTATGCCAATAATTTGATTTTTAGAATGAATGAAACAGCTAACAAAATGCTTCTGTGCTACCAAGGTCACAGTGGATGAGTAAATATATTTATAAACATACAGTTATGAAAAAATAGCCCAACTTACCACAAGTTATTTGCATGAACTATCTTTAGTATACCACTCTGGATTCAATGCACATGCATATACAATTGAATTATATTAGTGTTATTTTTATTGTGCCAGTTTTCCAAAAAGAAAACAGACTTTTTTTTAATTAAAGTTACATGATTTAAAATTATTTTTGTAAAAATATTAAAAATGCCATATACATTCTAAATATTTCTGCTATCTGACTGACAGCTATTCTAGAGGTGGACTTCAGTCACACTTTTAGTGACCTGTTTTAGCATCTTGGCTTCCAGAGGAAACGCATTTTAAGTTTTGTTCCCTGTACTGCAATTCTTTTTTTCAGTGGTTCTTAAAGAACCACTATAGTTAGGATTCTATTACTTTATAGGAAACTCAGTGGATCATCTTCAAATATGTCATAAACATCTGCTTCAAGATGTGACTATAAGCAGAAATCTAAACCTTAAGGAATTTCTGCTCACTCAGGTTGTTGTAGTAGCTTGAAATGGTTTAGACTTGTGTGCTGAAAATAAATAATACATATTTGGTCAGTCTATAAGGTTCCCTTTTTTTAGGCTTTGTTCTCTCTTGCAATTTAAGACCACATTTACGAATTATTTAAATCAATAGTAAGAATTATGCCTCATGCAAACACCAAATGGTTTCAAATTAGATTCACAGAGAATCTATAGGAGGGCCCAAAGGGCTATAATAGAGAATGAGAGATATTTCCATAGATCATCGTTAAGATTTTTCATTCCCTGGGACAATATTTTCAAAGGCTTTCTCTGTCATAAAGGGTAGGCTATACCAAAGTAGATTATACTAGAGTGGAAATGTGAATCCAAAAGAAAGTTTTAAGGCCTTTAAATTTTTATTCATTAAAATTTGCCCCTTAACATGTTAAGAATGAACCGGGGAAAAAAAATAATTTGCCCTAATCTTTATATGATAAAATCTAATTAATCTTTATGCCTAAAAGCCTCAAACAGTCCATCTCTGGTTATTCAACTACAAATGCCAAAGTCTTCTTTTTCCCCTCCTAGGATTTTGTAGGTACCCTAAATTAAGTCTTTAGGATTGAGTACCCTTTATTTCCTCTATTTGCATTTCTGAGGCCTGACCTAGGAACAGAGATCTCTTTACTGTGATAACTGCAGATGATCAGTAGGAAGCCTCATACAGCTAATGCTCCAAGAATTCACTGCACATGGATGGGATAATCTCAAATCTTTCTTAAGTTTATTGATTTGGGGTTCATCAATATGGAGAATGAAATTCATTCTCTGTCCATATTTCGTCTCAGAGCAGGAACAGTCTAATAAGTCAGCATGAGTTTAAATAAAGGCATCCTAAATCTGACATATCTAACCAAAAATCAAAAAACATCAATGATCTGTTATTTCAATGGGAGAGGCTCGTAGCAATTGCTAATTTTAAAAGATAACATATAAAATGGGGCGATAAATTTTCCTCTATGATAGGTAATAAGAATGAAAGGAACTGATTCATTTCTAGCACAAAAGCATGCTGAAGGAGGTATAGCAGAGGTTCAGATGGGATTAAGATAAGAAAGTAAAACTTTTCACTATCTCAAGAATATGATCCATGTAGCCACCCAATAGAAACTCCTGTTGAGATTCAGAAGCCACGTAACTTTTCCATACCACATGAGTATTCACCTATTTGTAAACTTAAAATACAACTGATATCTCTAATAAATCAATTTATTTAACAGTAAGCTTTTGGGGCCAGGCACATTGGCTCATGCCTGCAATTCCAGCACTTTGGGAGGCTAAGGAGGGTGGATCTCTTGAGTCCAGGAGTTCAAGACCAGCCTGGGCAACATGGTGAGATCCTGTCTCTAAAAATATACAAAAATTAGTAGTGGCACACATCTGTAGTCCCAGCTACTCAGGAGGCTATGGTGGGAGGATTGCTTGAGTCCAGGAGGTTGAGGCTGCAGTGAGCTGTGACTGTACCCCTGCATTCCAGCCTAGGTGACCAGATGAAACTGTCTCAAAAAAAAAAAAACAAAAAAACGGTAAGCTTTTTACTCCCTCTAGAGTATTTCTGGTTCAGCATTTAGTTACTGTGGCTTCAAAGCAAAAACAGGTGAATGTTCACAACTTGGAACACGGTACAAAATGAAAATTTTGCTATAAAACTTGTGAGGAGAGGGCAGCTAAGGAAATATGCTCCAGGTATTTGTCTCATTCTCCTTCTAGCTCCTTTAGTGACCCACGGTAGACATAATAAATAGTTTCTACAGCACAAACAACTGATGGATAAATAGCAAAGGGTCAAGACCAAAAAAAAGAAAAACCCTGATGCTACCCCATAACACATCAGAAATAGCCCCAACTTGTGGACATGCCCTCCATAAAGTGGTAGGGTATTTCCTCTCTCCTTAAATTTGGGCTGACCATTGAATTATCTTTTTCCCCCCTCATTCTTGCTGTCATCTTACCATTAAGTTCTTTGATGAAGAGTACAGTGGTGACTCTATGACAGTTCTAGGCCTGGCCTTTAAGTTGACTGGCATCTTCTGCCCAGCCTTTCAGAGGCCTGAGGTGTCCTTGTAATAAGTCTGACCACCTTGATGAAGAGAACCCATAGAGAGTCCTTAGACTTCATGGAGAGAAAGAGGAGCCCTGCTGAGCTCATCCTGCTAGTCCCCCCACCCAGGTGTCAGGTATGTAAGTAAGATCATCTTGGACACTCAAGACTTGTCTAATTACCTGCTGAATACCATCAGGTGATCTGAGTCATTGCCACAGGGAGCAGAATTGCCCAGACAAGCCCTTCCTGAATTTTCTGATTCACAAAATCATGAGATATAGAAAATGGTTGGCTTTAAGTAATTAAAATTACTTAATTTTAATTTTGTTACCAGCAATAGGTAACTGGAACTCTTTCAATTTTTGCCTTGATAGTACCTCACTATTAGACCTAACCACATGGGTGACTCCTCTGAATCAGTGGGCAATATCCACAGAAAACATTCACTATTTAACTCTGCTCAAAGATCAACTGCATCAGCTTTTGAAGAATCTTCCAATCACTTACTCTTGAATTACACATTCACTAAAACAGTACTGTTTCTGGCTACTGTATATTCCAGTCAACCTCAATTCTTTATAAGTAAATGGAGTCAACAGGACATCATGCAGATAGTTTGGGCTTTGGAATCAGATTGGTAAATACCAGCTCAATAATTTACCAGTTATGTAACCTTGGGTTCATCAGTTTTCTCATCTGTAAAATGTGATATAATTATACCTACTAGAGGCAACTCTAGTGTTAGACTGCCTGAGTCAAGTTGTGTCTCTTTCTTTCCCTCTAAAATGAGGATAATACATTATCTACCCTCATGGGATTGTCATAAGGGTTAGATGAGTTAATCAACGTGAAGCACATAGAACTGTGCCTGGCACATAGTAAGCATTCAAAAAGTTATTTTTAACACTACTGTTATTATCTCATAGTATTATTGTATTAACTGCAGTTATGACAGTAAAACACTTAATACAGCTAATTCTGTCCCCTTTTTGATCTTTTATCTCTATAGTAAAAAGTGCAGGCTTTTCAAAAGCAATACATCTCAGACGCCAACCAAATGGGTTTAGGACTCTCAAGTGCAGGAAGACACATCATGTCTGAACTATATCTAAAGCCAGTTTTATTATACAAATTCCAAGCTTGTTGTCTGGTATCAAAAAGTACTTAATCTTTACCTAATGAAACAGATTCTCCTATACATTACCTATCACTGCAGACAGGTGATTTCATAGAAGAGAAAACATGTTCCTATGAAATACTTTAACTCCTGGCATTATGGATTAACTGAGATCCTAAGATTCACAGTATATTAACTTGTGGTGGAGCCCATATGAGATCCTGGACATAAAACTCTCTTAACTGGGGCCAGGCACAGTGGCTCATGTCTCTAAGTGCAGGACTTTGGGAGGCCGAGGCGGGAGAATCACTTGAGGCCAGGAGTTTGAGACCAGTGTGGCCAATATGGCGAAACCCTGTTTCAACAAAAAATACAAAAATTAGCCAGGCCTGGTGGCATACACCTGTAATACCAGCTTCTCAGGAGGCTGAGGCATGAGAATTGCTTGAACCAAGGAAGTAGAGATTGTGCCACTGCACTCCAGCCTGGGCGACAGAGCAAGACTCTGTCTCAAACAAAACAAAACAACAAAAAACACCTGTCTTAACAGGATGGTGTATTCTAGCCCCCTGAACAGGACCTATTGAGTAGACATAAAAGAAACAGGAAATAGAAAAGTTTTTTTTATTAACTGCTTTGCCTTTGTAACTTATTTTGTTGTTTCAAGCTTCCAGTATTTTTGAGCTAATGGGCTTTATCTATGTTAAGATACAAGGTACTAATATATTGATAATGGGAAAAATGTCAGGTAAGAATTTTATTTACATATGTACCCTCTGTAAAGATAATGTGGATTTCAAGTAATATTTGCCTTCTCAAGTCACTGCTGTGTGTCACAGTTGTGGAGAAAGATAGTCTGTCTCCACAACAAAACTGGATAATCTGCACCAATATCTTTCAGGTTTTGATATTACTACTTTTATCAATAATTACATACTTTGGAATGTAACATATTCAGATATTTCAAAATATTCATAATATCTAACTCTGGCTTATCCTGAACAAAAAAGCCTGCTTGCCTAGAAAGTAAAAAGACTGGCCCTGGGAAAAGCATCATTTAAGAGGAAGAAGACTAAAAATAGGGAAAGAGACTAGAAAATAAGAAAAAAGACCGAAAATTGGCTGGGCGCGGTGGCTCACGCCTATACTCCCAGCACTTTGGGAAGCCGAGGCGGGTGGATCACAAGGTCAAGAGATCAAGACCACCTTGGTCAACAAGGTGAAACCCCGTCTCCACTAAAAATAAAAAAAATTAGCTGGGCATGGTGGCGCACACCTGTACTCCCAGCTACTCGGGAGGCTGAGGCAGGAGAATTGCTTGAACCCAGGAGGCGGATATTGCAGTGAGCCGAGATCATGCCATTGCACTCCAGCCTGGGTAACAAGAGCAAAACTCCGTCTCAAAAAAAAAAAAAAAAAGACTGAAAATTATCAAGGAAGTCATAAAGCTTGGAAAACTCCACTGCTTTCAATAGATTCATATTTAAATTGACATCTATTACTAAGACCTCAAATAGAGTAGGATGCAGATGATTCAGTGGGCTAACAAAATCCAATTTCTTTCACAAGTCCTCATTCCAGATTAATCAGAATCCCAGGTTAATCAGAAAAGTAATACTCCCAAATCTCAAAAACCTACTGTTACTATAGGTATAAATGCTCTAAGCCAAGGCAGATCTACCCTAGGCAAATATTCTAGAACCTTACAGATGAATTATCTATTACTCAGAGGATATATAAGATAGATTTAATTCAAAAGCCCATATATCATTTCCAAATGGGAAGCAATTATTCTCTCCTCTTGCAAGGATTTGGTTTTTTGTTTTAGAGATGAGGTCTATGTTGCCCAGGCTGGTGCTCAAAATCCTGGCCTCAAGTGGTCCTCTCAACTCAAGTCTCCCAAGTAGCTGGGATTACAGGTGTCTGCCATCTCACTCAGCTTCCTGCAAGGATTTCTGTTTATCATCACCCTAACAGTTCCCATTTTTCCCACATCGAGTATAAGTAAGCTATTTGAACACTAAGAATGAACATTCATAAATCAAATATGTAATGTTCCAATACATATTTAGAAGAATTAGACAATAACATAAATGGGAAGATAGGTCTAAAAGTAATTTGAAATCCTCAGATGTTTTATTATTTATTTATTTATTTATTTTTGAGACGGAGTTTCGCTCTTGTTACCCAGGCTGGAGTGCAATGGCGTGATCTCGGCTCTCCGCAACCTCCGCCTCCTGGGTTCAGGCAATTCTCCTGCCTCAGCCTCCTGAGTAGCTGGGATTACAGGCACGCGCCACCATGCCCAGCTAATTTTTTGTGTTTTTAGTAGAGACGGGGTTTCACCATGTTGACCAGGATGGTCTCAATCTGTTGACCTCGTGATCCACCCGCCTTGGCCTCCCAAAGTGCTGGGATTACAGGCTTGAGCCACCGCACCCGGCCTGTTTCATTATGTTTTAAAACATCCAGGAAAAAGGGAGAAAAACTTGGCTTTTTACTACTCTACATGGGAGAGAGTAAGTTTAAGAAGTTAAAATTAAGATACGTCGTAAAGGGAAAAGGTAGGGGTTCTAATTTAGAAAAATAGTACTTTGGATACGAATCAAAATACTTATTCTTAATTAATTTTTAATCCAGTTCGAGTTAACTCAAAGGAATGGCAAAACTTACTTATAACTCAACTTTAAAATACCTGCACCATTAAGGCAAGAACAAACCATAAGGCCAATTCTAAATGTTTTTAAGCAATAGGAACCATGAAGGAGCACAGAAAGAGCTATGAGAAGAGATCTAGAAAAAGTTGGCAAACTTTTTCAAGAAATATGCATATATGACAACATGAATTTAAAACCTCAACCAAATGATTATAAAGGCAAAACATCACAAGTGACAAATTGAGGAGGTAATTGTTTCTTGGGAGTTGGCAAATTTTTTCTAACAAGTACCAGACATTAAATATTTTCAAGCTTTGCAGGTCATGGGATCTCTGTCACAAGTACTCAACTTTGCCATTAGAAAGAAGCCATAAACAATACCTAAATGACTAAGTGTGGCCCTATTCCATTATAATTTTCTTTACACAAGCAAGTAGCCTCAGCATTTGGCTTAGTAACTATTGTTTGCTGACCCCTGATCTAATTCCTAAGTCCTAGGGGTGTATTTTGCTGAGGGTATCTTCTCAAACTTAGGGATTTGCCTGACAATTGTTTCTTTCTAAACCTGCTTAGCAACCAAAATATTTCAATATTTTAAACTCTTTCACATATAGCCTAAATAAAGAGCTCAATTTCCAAAGACTGAGTTCAATAAAGACTCATTTGTTATTCCTTGAACAAATAAGTACACTGATAAGGGGAAGAACATTTGAGGAAGAGAAAAATCATGCCTGCTGTACCTGAAAAAAAACTTCAGGATTCCACCTTCTTCCTGATTAAATGCCTTTCCACCATGATGAAGAAGACTTTTGTCTTTGTTCAATTTCCTTTCCATTATCTACTACTTTCATTTAAGTTAGATCATCTAGTCAATCAAAATATATCTAATTTTCACCAGTTAAAAAGAAACACAACTGGCTGGGCGCGGTGGCTCACGCCTGTAATCCCAGCACTTTGGGAGGCCGAGGCGAGTGGATCACGGGGTCAGGAGTTCAAGACCAGCCTGGCCAAGATGGTGAAATCCCCGTCTCTCCTAAAAATGCAAAACTTAGCCAGACACAGTGGCAAGCGCATGTAATCCCAGCTGTTTGAGAGGCTGAGGCAGGAGAACTACTTGAACCCAGGGGGGCGGAGGTTGTAGTGAGCTGAGATTGAGATCGTCCCACTGCACTCCAGCCTGGGCAGTAGAGTGAGACTCCATCTCAAAAAACAAAAACAAAAACAAAAACAAACAAACAGTTAATTTCAAGTAACAGCTAAAACTCTAAAAAAGTTATTTCTTGACCAAAGATTATTCAGCTATTAAGAATGACATTTACAGCCAGGTGTAGTCATCTGCCTATAGTGCCTCGGGAGGCTGAGGCAGGAGGACTACCTGAGCCCAGGAATTTGAGACTAGCCTGGGCAACATAGTGAGACCCTGCCTTTAAGGAGGGGGGAAAAAAATGAAGTTCTCTATTTCACCCTGCCACCAGACCAATTCCAACCAATGCCAGATGTCAGCTATGAAGCTGTGAGGATAAAGTTTTTTCTATCTTCATACCATCTTTGAAAAACCCTGTTTCACTGATGTAGAAAGAACTGAAAACATTTTAAAAAACGACAAAAATAAAAATGTTCCTTTATGAACTAATTTACCTTTATGTAGTTGAGATTGGATTTAACCCTCTAGTATAATAAAAATGGCATGGGGTGGTTTGCAACTTGAATAAAATAAAATTCAACTTGGTTCAGAGGTAAATACGGTTCTGAGCAAAGAGAACAAGTCATTAGAAAGAGCCTTTCTGCCTAAGTACAGCATTAACTGTTCATGCCAATGCTATATTTTATACTGGTATTAGAGTTTGGAAAGAATAAAGGTATATCTTATAATGCAAACAGATTAATATACTTCTATCTCTCTTCTTTGCTGAGAATACTGGATAGCTCCTTTGCTACTTAAATGCCACTCAATAAATGAAAACAGTCCCAGTGTTTGCAGTTTCTTGGCATTAAAGTACTTCATGATGATTTAGCTCTCATTGCTAATGTAGTTCCCCTCACAAGGTAACACGTGCAAGTTAAGATTTGGTAATGAATTTTCAGCATCAGCCAAAGTCCATTTAGAACATCCTAAAGAGGTATCCTCTGTACACACACCAACATAGGTATTCATTAATGTAGATAGAACATCAGTAACTCCTATGACTGATCCATCAGTGTTGCTAGCTAAGAACTAGGACAATGTCACAGTGAACCTGGGTAAGAATCTGGGACAGTTATTTAGAATAATGATATCTCTTCTAATTAAAATGGGGAAATTGTCTTCAAAAGTTTTAATTTGTTTAACAGCTAGCCTGCTTTAAATTTTCATGGCTCTGGCTCGGCCAATTAGGAGAGAACCAGCAAACATGATTGTGCTGAAGTGGTCCTAGATGACCAGGAAGCACCCTATTCACAGTATCAATATAGGAAAAAGTCATTTAAAGCGAATGAAAAGGGAGGGGAAACCCACCAAACATTCATAGCATTTCCACATGAATGAGACAGTCCCTACCTCGTTTGTTGCTAACCCTTGATGGATAATTGACAAATGTTGCAAAGTTTCTCTTTACATAAATTACTGCACTTCACCTTTAAAATTTGGTAATAGTTTAAAAAGCTCCATTTCTCACATATAATCTAAGGAACTAACAAAGCAACAAAGAACTTTCCAGGCCAAGTTCACTGGCTCATACTTGTAATCCTAGTACTTTGGGAGGTCAAGGTGGGAGGATTACTTGATGCCAGGAGTTCAAGACCAGCCTAAGCAAATTTTGTAGAGACACTTGTCGCTATAAAAAAATTTAAAAATTAGCCTGGACATGGTGGTGCATGCCTATAGTTCTAGCTACCTGGAGGCTGAGGCAGGTCAATCGCTTGAGCCCAGGAGTTCAAGATTACAGTGGGCTATGATTGCACCACTGCATTCCGGTTTGGGAGATTAAGAGTGAGACATTGTCTAAAAAAATATAAACAAGAAAAGAAGAACTTTCTAGCATACTATTTCTCAAAAGTAGGATGGACTTGAAGTTTTTTTTGGTAAGCTTAAAAGCTCCATCCAAAGCAGCATAATCTGTACTTCTTACCTCACTGCCTATTTAGTAATGGCAAACTCTGTCCACTGAAAACCTTATTACCAGTTGTTTCCCTAAGGATTTTAGTCTAATTCAATTTTACCTTTTCTATGCCAACGAGCATAGCCAGTCCCTAAAGATGGCTTTAGAAGACAGATTTTACCCTATCATGCTGTTGCCCAACTAAAGAGGAGGATGCACCAGTCTATGTCTTCTAAAGATGAAATACAGTTTCAATGCTGCCTTTAAGGGTAGGCTCTTATTAAATGGTAGCATCATTATCTTCCCATAAAAGATGCATTTCTATGCTTTTTCAGAAGAGAAAATAACCTTTCTCTTGAGAGAGGGTGCAGCTTTATGTACATGTGCAATTCTCAGATTGCTTAAGATCTACCATTTGCATCCTAATTTCTTATCACAAAGAAATTTCATTCTTTTCACATACCACACCTTTTCACATACCACACAGCAATCTCAGGAAAAGAGCACATGACTAACATTCTCACAAATGGTTTACTAGTGCAGGTATGACCTGCCCCTCTCCCAAAACTCTTTTACAATCATCTATGCCTCTGCATTGAAACAATTCCTTAAACCATTACATACTTAAATACTTAAAAGAAACCCAACAGCTAGTGCTCCATCAAGAGAAGCTAGAGGTTTTTCAACTTGCACTGTAAGTTATAAGCATCTATTTGCCTGCATCCCTTAATATTCCTCCTTCTCTCACTGCATGCAAGACAAGGTATCTAAAGTTCTACATGTTCGGTAAGTTCTTTCAATGCTGGATTAAGAATCTTAGAAATACCCAGAATTACTAAAAAGGTCCCTTGAAGTTTTAAAAATCTTAGGAATGACTAAGTAACTAAACCTGATCAAAACTGATCCTTTGATCATTTATTGCAACATGAGTCTGCATGATGTTTTCTGATAAGTGCCCTGTAGTATATTATTAAAAAGCAAAGCTCTTAGAGTCACCAGCTATTTGCTGATGGTTGGTTTATGAATTACTAGGTTTGCAGACCCGAGACATAGGTTTAAGTGAGGTTCTTCTATATGCCTGAAAATATAAACTATTACATATGTATAAGGAAATGAAATTGTGGTTGCAATAAGAACCATAGCGTTGAATTTCTTCAACCACAATACTGCAGAAAAAACATGTTTAAAACTTCATATAAAAGTTATCAAATAATGGAGACCTGTGGATTTAAAAATACAATCCAGGCTCATTTCACTGGAAAGTGACATTTTTGATGTACAATATTGCTGAATGTGAAAATAGGAGCCAAAGAGATTAGATGAAACTTTGGTAGTCAGCCTAACACATTAATTCACCTGAACTAGAGCCATTACTCAAGGATGTGTAGCACTATGGTTTACAAATACCAGTCAGGAATTTGCAGTACGGCTCTGTGCTGTTTGATATTTGCAAAACATAAAAACACTTCCCTCCCTGCTCTTCTCTTCCTCAACACAACGCTAAAGCCCCCAATGTAGCAGTACCTATTGCATATGCTTTGTTGCTCATTTCCCTTCCAGTTGCCAAGTGCTTCAGGTGATGCTGTCCACTAGAATACTGCTTTCAAGATGGCTGAATATATGAAATAACTAGGCAAAGTATTAGATGCCTAGTCAGGGCAAAGATAAAGTCTAACCTTTCAAAATAAGAACCACCAGCATTCATTTTTTTCTTGAAACGCAAAAATGCATGTTATGGCAGGGAAGGAAGAGGAGAAATTTCTCCTCTTCATCACCATCATGACTACCTCCTTCTCTCTTGTGGATGGCTGCTTCCGATGGTCGAGGCTCCTGCTGCATTTTTTAGATCTGGGCAATTATAGCCACCAAGATGATATGGACCAAAGTACAGTGTTCAAATATGACTGGTAGATAAATGACCATTTATCATCGTTTTGTTAAAAAAGCTTTTTTCCTTATAAAGTTAACAAACCAAGGCTGTTGATCCCTGAATTAGAAAGTTGATTTGCTTGATTATTTTCCAAAGTATGAGCGGGAAATAAGAAGGGAAGAGCCTTTAGTGCTTTTGTGTATGTTGCTAATCCTCTAGTTTGGCAACATCTTGGGAGTGCCTTCTGGCCTAGTGACATGGCATTTTGTAAGTCTAAAGTATCAGCCCATGGCCCTGATGCTGGCTGCTTACGACTCAAAGGGGAAGAGGGTCAGCCCCCTCCCCCTCGATGTTTCAATCTGGCCCAGTGGTGGACACAGAGCCCTGGACAGCTTCCCCAGGAGCAACTGTCTCTTCCTGTGAAGGTGACTCTTCCTCAGCTTGTCCTCGAGATGTGACAGTTGTTTCAGGGGAGATGCTGTGAGGCCCCTCCAGGGGTATACAGCCAGGGTGGTTTTTGCGAAAGTGCTGATTCAAGATGGCCTGGAAGGGGAAACTTTTGCCACAAACATGACAGTGAAAGGGCTTGTTGCCTGTGTGCTTGCGGATATGATACTCCAGCTGATCTTTCCGGGTATACTTCTTGCCACACATGCGGCAGACGAATGGTGTGATCCCCATGTGTAGGCGCATGTGGCGGTCCAGGCTTCCCTTCTGGTTGAAAGATTTGGCGCAGTAGATGCAGGTGAGACGAGGGTTGTACCGGAACCACCGCTCAGATACTTCCTGTTCTCGGAGATACTCCACATAGCCACTTACTCCCATCATTGCTGACTCTTCTACCTGTACCAGGTAAGGAAAATAACCAAGAAAGAACATATATTATTAAGCATACATATCAAAAGCAATCAAATCTATTTTTACTTGTTACTAAGATATATGTATATTTTTAGTGGAGAACCAAACAGAAAATTAATTACTACCAAAAAGTGAAGATATTGCCACAATAATTTTAAAAGATTTGAGAATACTCTGTTCTATTACTATATAAAAGAACAACACAGTAAAGTTACTTTCTGTCTGACCAGTTGGATGCTTATTAAACCCCAGCTGAATGTACAGTAATCTGAGAAGAATCTGAGCCCACTTACACCATACCCTGGATCCTAATCTTATAATTATATTCTAGACAATCAAGTACTTAGGCAGTACTGGTCTAATAGAACTATCTGTTTTTGTTTTTAAACAGGACCTCTCACTCAGGCTAGAGTGCAGTGGTATGATCACGGCTCACTACAGCCTCAACCTTCCCAGGCTCAGTTTGATCCTCCTACCTCAGCCTCTTGAGTACCTGGGACCACAAGCATGCACCACCACTCCCAGATAATTTCTGTACTTTTTGCAGAGATGGGGCTTTGCCATGAATTCCTGGACTCAAGCAATCTACCCGCTTTGGTCTCCAAAAGTGCCAGGATTATAGGTGTAAGCCATGACGCTCAGCCAGAACTATCTATGATGATGAAAATGCTCTATAACCTACCCTATTCATTACAGTAGTCACCAGTCACCTGTGGCTATTATTTGCAATATGGCTAATATAACTGAGCAATTTTTACAATTTTAAGTGCTTTCATTTACAATTTAAATTTAAAAAGCCACATGTGACAAGTGGCTAATGGCTACTATTTACTATATCAGATAGTACAGAATATATAATGACAAATATATTATAAATTATGACATCATTAATACATTATAATCTAGCAGTAGCTAGCTTTATAAAAATACATATAATTTGTAGGTGACAGTATTCTTTTTTATCTAAAAATATTTCAGTATCATATTAACATATTATTTTCACTCTAAAGACTATTGAAAGTTTAACTGACCTCAGAGTAAATTGTCGGAGGGCATGGGTTTCTCCTATCTGAAAACTGGGAGAGAGTATGAACATATTCTTTTCAATAAATAACTTAAAAATCTTGGATTTAAGGTCAGATGTGGTGGCACATGCCTATAATCCCAGCACTTTGGGAGGCTGAGGTGGGAGAATGACTTGAGCCCAGGAGTTTGAGACCAGCCTGGGCAGTACAGCAAGACCTCATATCTACAAAAAACAAAAATAAAAAAATTAGCTGGGTGTGGTGGTGTGCACCTGTAGTCCTGGCTCCTTGGGAAGGCTCAGGTTGAGGATTGTTTGAGCCTGGGAAGTTGAGGCTGCAGTGAGTTGTAATCATGTCACTGCACTCCAGCCTGGGTGACAGAGCAAAACCCCGTCTCAAAAAAACAAACAAAAAAAACCTTGGATTTAGAAATGCTTTTGTTCAAAATTCTGTATTAAAAAAAATCAATCAGAAATTACTTTACCCCAACTTAATAGTAACTAACTTCTGAAGTCATTAGGAGAATAAAACCCTTTTTAAATATGTGGGTAGGAATTATACATGTTTAACAGAGGCTAAAGTACCAATGCAAACAGAAGAAAATGTCAAAGTTGACTCCAGAGTAACTAGAGCAAGATTCACCTAGTTAGCAATTACTCTTGTCCCTGCGATTTTTCCCCTAAGATAGACAATATAGAAAATCTTGTGCCCTTTTAATTCTAAAAATGTGTTTTGTCTCCTCCTATCCTGATGGTGCTATTCAGCATTTTCAGTAGAGGTAGTTCTCAATAGGTGTGGGAAGCAGTATGTAAAGTCAAGGGTTGAATACTAAGACTGAGGTTTTCAGATTATTTTCTGACTTGTTTTATATTGATTTTTTTCAGTTTCATTTCCCTGGAAAATAAAAACTTAATTCACATAAAGAATGAGGGCATGGGTTTAAAGGGTGACCAAGGACAAAACATAGAATAACTTCTCTAAGGCTGTCTTCTCACCCATAAGGTACAAAGGTTTTCATATGATTTGCGAGCTTTAGAGAATTCTCATGAGAACTGAACTGATAACAGTACTCTTTTTTTCTAAAAACAATGGTAACTTTTAGGACCTATATTTTGAATGCATAATATTACATAGCAATTAAGGATGCTGAAACCTGGGTTCAAATCTGAGTTCTATTTATTGTGTGACTTGGAGCAAGTTAGTTAGCTATTCTGTTCCTCAGTTTCCTCACCTGTAAACTGAATATAATAATAGCATTTCGCTCACTAGTTGCTTTGAACATTGTGAATGAGTTAATATACTAAAGTGCTGAATAAATGTTAGCTATTATTAAACATTACGAACTCATATTATTTATAATCTTGAGGGTAACAATACCCTAAGAAATCTCCCCAACTCTAAGGAAGGTAATGTTATACTACTATTGTCCACATGCTGAAAGTAAACGCACTTCAGTAATCAGTGATAAACTGTAAGCACAAAAATCACACATTATGATCAGTCTCATCCAAAAAATTACTGCAGTGAAGTTGCAACAGAAGAACAAATACCACAAAATATAGATTGGGTCCTTGTCAAAGGCAGCAATACACTTTTGGTGGTTTATTGTTTTAAACTTTAAAAAGAAGCAAAGGCAAAAATGGTTGCCTCCGGTTCTCTATGTTGCCAAGAGGTGGATTATTTCACTCCTCTCACCAGGCAATTACCTACTAGTTTGTAAACTCTGCTGTAAGCACAGGGACATTCTGCACTGCCAAATATCTAGGAATTTGATCAGTGTTGGCTCAATAGCTATTTCTGAATGAATTACTCCATATAATAAATAAATTCCATATAAATGAAAGGTTTCCATCTTTTCAAAAACAAACATCAAGCTAGATACTTGACATGGACTTCAAAGCCTTCTACCATTCTAATCAGTTACTAACCACAGACTCACAGTTAACTAAAGGATCTTAAAAAATCATCTGACTTGATGTATTGTTTTTGAAAGATCTCAAAAATTAAGTATTTTACGAGCAACTAACTAACTCCCTATTTAGCAGGTGCCTATTTATTGAGCAACTACTAAGTAAACTTAGTTACTTATAATTACTTAGAGATAAAAGAACTCCTATTAATCAGGCACCTAAGAAGATAATGTCAGAGATACAAAGATTAGAAAATGTGGTCGGTCTCTCAAATGCAATTAAAATGCACTTGGATAGCGTCTGATCCTATATTCTTATTTCCCCAAAATGCTTCCCCCCACACCCCGCTAATTATTGTATTTGGGCTTTGTAGGCCTTCACTTAGTTGGTGATTCCTAAGTGGCCTAGTTTGTGTAAATATAATGTACTAGTCTTTCTCCATGTTCTTTTTTGAGACAGAGTCTTGCTTTGTTGCTCAGGCTGGAGGCAGTAAAGCGATCTTGGCTCACTGCAACCTCCGCCTCCTGGGTTCAAGTGATTCTCCTGTTGCAGCCTCCCAAGTAGCTGTGATTACAGGCACCTGCCACCATGCTTGGCTAATTTTTTCTTTTTAGTAGAGACAAGGTTTCTCCATGTTGCTCAGGCTGGTCTCAAACTCCTGACCTCAGGTGATCTACCTGCCTCGGCCTCCCCAAGTGCTGGAATTACAGGTGTGAGCCATTGTGCCCAGCCTAAACCTATTTAACCTTTAATCTTAAAGTAGAGAGAAGCAATTGGGGGCCTTCCATGTAGAAAGTAGGGTCAAAATACAAGAAAGAGAATAAATGCTGAATAAATGTTTTTTTTTTTTCTTTTTTTTGAGATGGGAGTTTTGTTCTTCTTGCCCAGGCTGGAGTGCAATGGCACGGTCTCAGCTCACTGCAACCTCTACCTCCCAGGTTCAAGCAATTCTCCTGTCTCAGCCTCCCAAGTAGCTGAGATTACAGGTGCCCACCACCATGCCCAGATAATTTTTTATATTTTTATTAGAGAAGGGATTTCACCCTGTTGGCCAGGCTGGTTTTGAATTCCTGACCTCAGGTGATCCACCTGTCTTGGCCTCCTAAAGTGCTGGGATTAGAGGTGTGAGCCACTGCACCTAGGCTAAATGTTGAATTTATATCCAAGTCACTCAGGAACTTTTATACAGGTGTAAAAAACTTACATCAAAGTGGCCACAAGATTGCTTAATAGGAGATGAACAAATGTAACTTCGTATTTACCACTAGAAACTAACGCTTTATGTGAAATCTTGAATTTATGAGGAGGAAGGGAGGGTAGGAAACTCTGTACCTGTCTGTTCTTTTCCTAGTCCCTTCCCCTCATTCCTGAACTGCAGGAGACAAAGCCTCTTTGGGCTTTGGTGACCCCATTGCTGGGGTGTGTTTATTTGGTTGTTGACTTTGCTGTACTGGGTACTTCCTTGTCCATTTTCTAACCATTCTGTAACACATGCTGACTCTTTCTTTCCCCTTCCCTTCTCCTTTCCCATGAATTTGTTTATTCATTGGGAAATACAATGAATAAACAAAGACTTATTGGTACTAAAACTGTCAAAAAAGCAAAAACACAAAAGGAAAGAAAAGGTGGTCTCTGCTCTCAAGATTTCAGTTTAACAGGAGACACAAAACTAATGCAAATAAAAAAGGAACAACATATATGAGTCCAGTGAATTTGGAAAAACTGTATTGTACCATGCTATAATAGCAGCCTAAGAAGAAAAAAATCAAAAGAAGACTGGAGCAGTTAGGGCAGATAAAACCAGGAGTTGGGCCTTGGATGAACCCAGACACCTGAAAAGAATGAGGCATTCAGACATCAGATGCAGAGAAAGAAATAAGTTTAACGTGGTTCTGATACATGGACAGTCTACCTGTTTGAGACAGTGAATGCTGACGAGTGGTGGGAAAAGTTGGGTTAAAAAGATTGTGAATTACGGGCCGGGCGCGGTGGCTCAAGCCTGTAATCCCAGCACTTTGGGAGGCCGAGGCGGGTGGATCACAAGGTCAAC